TGCTAGTCAAAGGTGACAATATTTGCACCTAACATCTGGCTTATGATCCCTCATCATTTCGAACATTTAATGCTCTTAGTAAAGCCCTAGTCCTACTTGATTTTAGGTTAAGAGAGGAGACATTGTTGTAGCTGGAATAGGAAAAGCAAACTTTGTTCAGGTACAGTAATTCCACACATCATTCCTTGAGAATCATGCAARTAATGTGTAGTTCCAGAAATCATCCATACCCACCCCACAGAGGAATTTAGAATTTCCGAAGAGTAGGGGGGTCAGAGAAAGAACAAAAATTACTGAGTTTGTATGGAAGAAAATTGGAATTTCTGGGGGGTAGGGGGGTGTCTTAAAATAATTCCTCCATGAGGGAGGTATGGATAATTTTTGGAACTACACAATTTTGATTATTCAGGCCAACCAAAAACTAGGTTCAAGCAATATTTTAAAGTAGGAACATAATCATGTCATTTAATCATGATATGTTTGAATAAATACATTTTACATGTACTTTGCAACATACAGGCTAACTGGATCAAGCCAGGTGCAGTTGTGATTGATTGTGGCATCAATGTTATACCAGGTGTGTATTGAATGTATATTTACCCCTCTCTCCCTCCCTCAGACTCCCAGTAGCTCAGCAGCAGTGCATCCAACTGACACGTATCTTTAAGATCGCAGGGTTAAAATTTGTTAAATTAGGGGGCTTTTCTTTCCTGGCCTAATTTTTGAAACGGATTTAAGGATGGTGGGTAGAGTTGTCAGYGCGCACTYTTACTGAGCACATTAYGTAATCCACAGGAACTCCAATGTTTTTAAAAATATAAACAACRACAAAAGTGCTTCAAAATGCGCTCACGTCATCGGGTCTGTAATGACAATTATATCACTTGGATGYGTGGGGACCCCCAAATTTTTTCACGTTTTAAGATAGCCYCTTGGGTACTCTGRGAYAGTTTCATTCAAATAAAAATGGKTCGCRAACTGTACCCATCATCCTTAAGAAAATTGGTAAGTAAGATTGTTCTTTGTTTTGATATGTCATGCATATTTTTTCGTATTTTCAGATGCAACCAAGAAAAGTGGTACTCGTCTGGTTGGTGATGTTGATTTTCATGGAGCTCAAATGAAAGCCAGCTGGATAACTCCTGTACCTGGAGGTACTGTATTTGAATTCCTTTCTATATAACTATTGGGCCAAAAGAGAGCGTGAGGTTTGCYGCTAACCACTAGGGATCAGGCTCATAAACATGCCTGCTTGTCAAGCTAAAGGTYTCAAATGAATTGCATTTTGAGTCTTGGAAAATCTTGGTGCAATTATGAAAGAAAATTTGAATCTTGGTGTGTCCAGTGGTGGGGTGACATCATAAGACACCTGTCCTTTTTGTTGCAAAGTTGATTCACAACTGTTAAGGGATCTTAAGGTTTCTTAAGGGATCACTTGGCTGTCGTGGTGATAGTATGTTAATATTGGCTGCTATTATCAATGGTAATGATAAATTAAACAGRTCTGCTGTTTACAGGGTCTAGTCACATGATAGTTGTCATGGTAATAAGTAGTGTGCCACTGGTTTTATGGCTGCAGTCGTGTGACTTTTACCATGGTAATGATAAACAGTGCAGTTTACAGTGGATGGTCACATGACTGTCATGGTGGTAGTAAAATCTATGCCATCGTTTACTAGGTTGGTCATAAGACTGTTTTAGAAGTAGTAATAACAATGTTTCATGTTTGCAGGTGTCGGTCCGATGACAGTTGCCATGCTTATGATGAACACAGTGGAYGGCGCAAAGAAAGCTCTTCATCAACAAAAGGTGTCTACTTCATTCATTAAAATGGGTTTATCTCTTGCTCCCCTCTACCCCTACCTTAGACGGGTCTTCAGAAGGTAAACAATCTTTTATCCTAATTCAGTTTGAACAGCCATCACTAATATTCTACACATATATTTTGCAATAATTACTCATTCTATACAAACAAGGCATATATATATATACACCATATGGATTTTTTATACCAAACTTTTTGAGCCTCTGACATTCTTTCTCCTGTAATCCTTTAAACCATTAGTAAGATAGTATTGTTCTCAACTTTTAAAAACGCTACTGTTTAAGATGTTATATGAAAATTATGGTTTCAAATGTTGAAATTGAAATATTTCTTTGGGRTATTACGTTGTCAATATTATTGTTGGTTTCAATAAACCTGTGAAATAAATATTAGTTTAATATTTAGCTATTAGACATCATTTTTATTRCTTTGTTTTGCTATAACAATCTGTCAGACATTGACGATGACATTCAAAGATTTCTTAAATTAACTGCATGTGTTATTTAAAACTCAGGCCAGCATGTACTAGGCATTGACTAATCATTTATTTCACAAATTTATTGAGTGTTTAGTAGTGTAGACTGTGCAGCAAACTTCTATACTGTATCCCTCCCTTCCACCCACCCCCACCCCCCAGGGGACAAGAGGTCCACATTCTTCCTCTGGATGGGAAAACTATGAGATTGACATTGACTCCCATCAATATACTTAAGTCCAAAATGGTGCATAGCCAGATAAAAACGATGCATTCAAGGCCAAATTTACAAATTTACAGTATTTTTTTAACRATTTGATGCCGCAAAATTGTTGTGTTCCTGAATGTAAGAAGGAAAGAAGGACAGAACAAAGTGAACAAGTGTATACTTTGCATTGACGCCATATTATTTCTTTGCATTTGGGTTATTTCTTTGCATTTGACCTTGGATGCCTTGTTTTCATGTAACTCACCAGCTTGGCCATGCGCCATTTTGGGCTTAAGTGTACAGGAATTTCCATAGAAAGTATGGATATTTGCTGGAACTACATGACTGGTACTTAGATACTAGGCATGTGAGTTGAGTTTGGTGTGTGTTGAAAATTTTATCATTTAGTTTATACTGTTTCCATTGCAATGCTATRATAATCTGTTACATAGTTACTTCTGATTGGCTGATGTGGTACTTCTGGTAAAACTTTGACAATATACATATAAATTCAGCTATTCATAACTAGACATTTTCACTAATAACTGAACTGGTTRTCATGGAAATGTCAACCACATACTGTAAAATGTCTATGCGCCTAACTCAACTGATTAACATATAGTATGTGTACGTATTTGAGCATTACATGTATGTTTATTGTTTAGTCTTATGGGTTTGTACTGTGTTGGTGTGTTTTCATTTTGATTATTGGGGTTTAAAAAATTTAATTGTTAACAGCTAAAAAACATTCACAGGTATTTGTTATGTTCCAGTATTTATTTTATTTCTTAAGGAGGTTCATGGGTATTGTTTGCGCCCATCCTTTCTACRCATGAATTTAGYRAGCGCACACTCATCGTGATGACGTCATTCCAATGCTTTGATAAGCTAAATATTATAAAAACGTCTTTGATCTCTCATAGCTCTAAAATGAAATCAGGCTACCCATTTTTTATTTCATTTTTTGGAAGTATTCGGTAATACCTAACTTTAGAGAAAAAATTTTACTTCTAGTATGATGTTCTTCCATCATGCAAAATTTTAAAAAAATCTGATGATGGGATCTCATACCCATGAACGTCCTTAACTCACTTTTATTTTTTTATTTCTTAACTGACTTTTCCTGGTTGTTTAAGCCAAATTCGAAAATATTATCACTGAGTCTTTATTATTAAGCATATTTAGTATGRTAGACACATTAATATATTATTTGCATTGACTGGTATTTGTTTATTATAGATCTTATTTACTTTTAACTAATATTTATATTTATATATTGATGAGATCCTAGAGGTTTGTGCATACTTTATATTTCTAGGGCTATAGTTTATTTATGGTTTAATAAATAAGCAGGAGTGTTTTATCAGGTTTAAGACCTAATAAAAAATGATCTGCGAGTTTATTGAATGACTTCAAAAACTCAGGAATAATTAATGAGCATTTAGGGTCCTTATTCGTGACATGCTCTCGTACTCTTTTGGTCCCCCATAAAGATTTCAAAATCGTTATTTAACAATTATTCGCCAAAGGCACAAGTGAATATTGTGGAATATTTACCTAGACTCGAGTCTTCGAGCGGCTAGGTAAATATTCCCCAATATTCACTGAGACTGAGGCAAATAATTGCTTTAGTATTAATACACAGGTGATTCTTTCAATAAAAGGAGGAAAAAAGTATAAAAGACATTTTTTTCCAGTAACAGCAACAAAGCGGCTGGCCGCCATATTGGATTATCGCTGGAGGTGATTATCGTGTGATAGTGTGAGTTTCTCAACCAATCAGTGTGCGAGATTTTCAATAATCACCTGTGTATTTTTACTAAATAAAAGATATCCATGTTGAACTATTATCAGGTATAAAGATCCATGCAAGTGATGGATTTGAAGGACCTGATAGATCTAAGTGTCATTAATTATTCATGAATTTTTGAAAATGAAATYGAGTTGCATCCTATTGCTGGACGAATTAAGGAGAAGGTTCCGGTTTCATACTCTTTGAATTTAATGGACTCRGAATGTTCTAGAGACAATATACCTTTTTTTTTTGTCTTAATAGTTGGATTGCCTCACTTTAAAAATACAATGTAGAGAATGAGTTTGAGCGAGTAGAACAGAAGTAAAGTAAAATGTATTGAATATTTCATTACATTCTATAACTTCTAAAAGTAAATAAGGTGCCATCGACTTTTTTATTAAATGAAATGCTTTATTATAACTTTTAGTGCAGTTAAGTCTTAAAGTATATGACCACATTTAATGTATTTGYATACTTCYATGCACYGGCTTTTGGCTACCAAAAGTGCTKTTATGCACCTTTTTTATGCACCTTATGTGCCTTTGGTAGAACAAGCCAGCGTCACATCGAAATGTACATTTTGGTTTAACGTACGAAAGCCTGTGCATAGAGGTATTCAAATACATTAAAATGTGTTCATACTTTTGCGTGTTGCACTGTAATTGTAATGATATATATTAACATAACTAAAAATGAGATCTCATTATAAGCTAAAACTTCTCAGTTATTGCCTGCTACRTGTATGCCTTTTATAGAATTAAATATGTAATTCTGAATTGTTAATTGTGAAGCAACTTGATAGAGAATTTTGCATAGTCTAACATTATTTCTGGATCAGTTWAGCCTGTCCTTTTTACTTCATTCATTTCAATAAGAGCAGTTTCAAAGATTACTAATCAGAATTCAATGTCACACTTCAGTATTTTTTTTATTACTTGGTTTCTTTCTGTAAAAATTGTTGAACAAAATGCTGACAATGACTTAGAAGTGAAAGCTTATAGTCGAAAGCTTATTTCTCAATACATCCATATTTAGCAAGTGAACGTAGAGTTTGTAATAGTCTTGATTTTGTTKTGATTTGCCTGATTGAAATAAATATTTTGCTGTTAACAATCCAAATATGCTCAGTAATTGATCTTGTATTTGCCTATATATCCTATGTTTATGCCTATCTATATCTTAGAGTGATTTTCACATGAGTGGGAAACATTTGGTACTGATGCATAGGATTGAAATGCCTTCCTATTCTCGTCCAGTAATTCGTCCAATCACATGTAATTATGGTTACAATTTTTAAGATATGGTACAGCTAT